ATCCTACCATCTACAGCTGATGCTGACCAACAAAAATGCCTCCAGCTCGGGGTGAGGGCAGGGAGGCTGCAGCCACCAATTGTTTCTCAGTCTGTTTGTGAAGCTGAGCCCTCTGCCCACAAGGAGGACTGTGCTGAGATGGCTGGCATCTTCTCAATTACAAAGCCGATGTTTTTTGAAACAATAGACAAGATGTAATGAGTCTGATCATAGAATAGCATCCATCTGAAATGGAGGCTGCACCCTGCAATTGCCCAATCAGTTTAAAAAAAAAAAAAAAAACCTCTCTCTTTAAGCCCAGTAAAAATCAGGTTTTCAGACCCTGACTTGAGCGTGCAGGTTTCTATGGCTGGGGCTGAGGTGTTGATGGAACCATTTTAATGAACGTTGAGGCAGAATTTTAATGGCAGATAGCACACGGCACACCAGCCTCCTCTTCGGCATCCTGGTCAAACACCAGGCCGTGTGTGAGGTGCTTCACCAACCTCGAGGGGTCAGTTTTCATCATTGTCATTCCTGCGGTGTGCCCTCCTCTGCCAGATGGAAAGGACCGAGAGCGTCAGGGCTAAAGACGATGGAAGTCTAGGGGGACGGGGGAGAAGGCAGCCCCCTCCCCACAATTACTTTGGGTTGCCTTCGTACGTGTTTGGTATTCAGTGACCCATCCAATATACCATACGCTCCTTGCAACCAGGGACTTTCTGACTTCTGTCCTTATATCTCCAGCATAGTGCCAGGCACATAGTAAGAACTTCATAAATATTACCACTTTCACCCGGTGTTGCCAGATTTGCCCCAGGAATGGTTCCTTGCATATTGCTTCCCACTTTCTTGCTCTCCCCCAGTTCTTTGTCATACCGAGGGATCCCTAAGCACATGAGTCTGTCACCAGGCCCCTGCCCGAGGACTCGCCATCAGAGCCTTGGGGTGTAGCAAAAAGAGGTCGGGGCTGAGAAACAGGATCCTCCCCTTGCAACCTTGGGCAGTGGGCTTAACAAGTCAGGTCCACGGGTGGGTTTTAAGTGCTCATTTCCTGTGTGCCAGGAGCTGAGGAGGTGGGAGTTGATGGTCTCTGAGGGCCCTCCTGGCTCTCGGACTGGAAGCCTAGGAACCTCGGGTCCCCTTCAGACCACAGTGAAGCCCCCTCCTCTTTTTCTTAGAAGGCAGGATGTGGTCCGTGTTAACGGCAGACAGAGCATCTGGTAGGGCCAGCCGTGTGATCTGATTCTTACCCTTCTGGTGCCACGGGGCCCAACGGCCTATCCCGTTGTTTCATGACCTGAGCCACCATTGTATGGCTTTTTGTAACGGGGAGGCTGATTCTCCTAAGGCATGGAACCCTGTGCCCTGACTTAGTTGGACCCACTCTGTTAGTGAGTGGGTACACGAGAGAAGGTGGCCTCTGGAGATCAGCTCGGAGAAACAGGCCATCAGAACTCAGCCTTGTGTCCCTGGCCTCACCTGCTCGGACTTTGTGGCCAGGATCCAGCTTGGCCTTCAAGCTGGTGCCGGTGCCAGGGCAGACGTGCTGCAGAAAAGGGCCGGTGGATCGGGAAGAAGAGAATGTGTTTTCTTTTCCTTCTGGCTGATGTCATTCCAGCTTTCCCTTCCACCACATTCGAGAATCATTGAGCTTTGAAATGTGCTCAGGGCTTTGTGTTAGCCCGCATCTCCTCTCCCTCGGGCTCTTGGAGATCATCAGGACCTCATTTTCCACCAGATTTGCTCTAATGCAGTGTGTGGCTAGATTGCTGGCCGGCTGTCATCGCGTCTGCCCGTGATGCGCGGCTTCAGTTTAATTTTGAACTCCTATCACTGGACTTAATTACATGAGAAGAAAGAAAGAGAGATTTGCTGGAGAAGATAGTGTCAGACGTCTTTTTCTTCCCTTCCAATTATGAAATTGCCTCTAATCCAACCTGGGCTTGGGGTTTGGGATAATCTCAAAGTACTGAGAGAGACATTTTCTGTATATTGATTTGCCAAATGGAGATTTAGCTCAAATCATGCTGCTCCCTGCCTCGTCTATGCATGATTCTTATTTGGCAAATCAATTATTCTGGGCAGAATCCGGGGACAGAATCTCTAATTTCCCTTTCTATATCTTCCTGGGTCACCATGGCCAGGGTACAAGGGTGTTGCCCTCATTTGCTCCTGATTTTGCAATGTAATCCATGATTAGCTTTTAATTATAGTAATGCCTTGTTCAGAATTTTAATTTCCAAGATCCTTTCCCATCTATTTTCTCATAGTTTGTTTCCAGCATCCCTTGGAAGTACGATGAGATAGGTGGTATTCCTAGACTAAAATGGGAAAACCACCCCACTGAAATCAAGTGACCAGCCTGATGTCGCCTAGAGCTCGGTAGCAGAAAGGACAGGAGACTAGAGCTCTGGATCTTTGGCCCCATCTTCTTCATCATCATCATCATCATCATCTTCATCATTAATAAGTGTCCATCAACATACATTTTAAGCAACAAAAAACAGGGAAGAGGATTGTGTGAGAAAATGTAGACTTTTATACAGTTTTCTTTTTTCATTTTTTTAACAAATATATCTACAAAGTTAGAGTAGTGGTACAATTTCCTGGTTCTGTCTTCCTGCACTTTTTTTCTTCTGTGAATTTTTTGAAAAAATGTTTCATTAATGCACCTTTTTTTTTCATACCTGTCACTACCCGCTAACTCGCCTCACCCTACTGTCCCTTGTAACATAGCAAAACAGCCCTTCTTCATTCTGTACCATCGCCCCCCATCAGAGCCCCACGTCATCATCAAGGGCACGCCTGTCAATGCTTTGGTTAACATTCGGTGGACTTCCTAAGTTGTTTCCTCTTACGTCACCGACATCATCATCATTATTATTGCCATCACGTCTCTCGTTCACCTGGTTCTTGCTCGTTTTCCTCTGCATCAGTCCATGCAAGTCTTTCCATGTTTCTGATGATGCAACAGAACGCCATTGCACTTATATGCTGTGATTCATTAAGCTGTTCCTTGCCTGATGAGAACTTGTTTTTACCCTGAAAGCCCTGTGTGCTGTTCTTATCATTCCTACTACCGGGCGTGGCGATGGGTTCTCCACACCTGTGGTCTGTAAGTGAAGGGAAGAAAATCTGCCTTGCTTCTTCACACTGTCCGTTTGTCCTCAGTGTGAGGAGCCGGCAGCCAGCATTTGGGCCTGCTTGCCAAGATCTCTAAGCTAATGCCACTGGTCCCGAGGGGCTGCCAGTGGGAGGTTTCTGTTCCTGGATGAGGATGAAGCGATAGGAGACCAGTCCTCTGCCAGCCCCCATCGTGCCCGCGTATGGGGCTGTTAGGCGGCTGGGCCGGGCTTCCTAAACAATAGCAAAGGCGTTGGTTGCTAGACATACTCACCCTTGTGCAGCTTTGTTTTTCAGAACCAAAAAGCTCCCAGCTACCAATTAAGTAACTTGTCATTAGCTTAATTGGGATAGCAGACTATTCTGAACACGGACTCCTTTGGCATTCTCCCCTCTCCCCAAGCTGTCCTGGGTCTTTTGGGGGCTCCCAGCCCCACCTTTTCCTTGGCTTCTACTTAGATGTCAGGTGTTAAAACAGCAGAAAAGAGGCTGATAATTGCTTTGAATACCAGCTGCCCCCCATGCCCTCTGAGCTCCATTGTTCCTGCTGTCACCTAGAGCTAAAGCCCCCCCCATGTTTGTCTTTCCATTTGTCCAAAATTCCGAATACACTCGGAGGCTTCTGCCCCGCTCCAAGACTGAATGGGAATTCTCTAATGACTGCTCTCTGGGTTCTGGCTGAAGCCCACCAGTGCGGAGGCAGCCCGCCGGTTACATCCGGCTCTGCCCAACTGGGGCCCAGCAGACAAAGCCTTCTTTCACATGAGGGCCTTTCAGATGCTTAAAGACGGTTCTCATCCCCATCCCCATCGCCATCCCCATCCCCATCCCCAGGGTCTTCCCTTCCCCAGCTTCTGGATCTGGCAGGGCATCGATCCCTCCCCATCCTGGCCATGTTCCACCATAACGTCCAGTTTCTCAGAGGCCTCCAAATGGGTCCCACCTACATCAGCAGAGAGCAGCGGGGGACACCCCTCTTGCTTGTATTGGACACTGCCTTCTGTCAGTTGGTCAACAAGCGTTTATTAATTGCTTGCTGTGTGCTTGCTGTGCTAAATGATGCTGGGGAGACAGAGAAAGGCAACAGCCCCTCCCCATAAGGAGGTTTACACTAGAGGACACTGAGGCCTCTTCTGACCCTGAAATTCTGCGACCGCGATTCTCTTCCCTTTTTCATGCTCTCAGTGACTCGGGGAACTTGCTGTCCACTACAGTCCCCAGATAAATTTTGCTTTTTAATACAAACTGCTGTTCAGCCCCAGGCTGCCCTAGTTCTGGGCAAAGGGAAGGAGGTTTAAGCCCCGGAGGCCTTCATGTACATTCCTGTTCATCTGGCCCTGCATCCTATCCTGCCTCACGTGTCCAGGGGATTGGTTGTCCCTCCCAGCATCTGGTCATCTGTAGATTATCTAAGCTTTCTATCTCTGCCCTCTATTTGGAGTGACTGAGAGGGAGAGCAGGGGGGACAGGCGCTGGGGACGGGGTGGGAAGAGAGCACATTGATAAAGGACTTACTATGGGCCAAGCACACTCTGGGCTGGGAATACAGAGATGAGCCAGAAAAGGCAGGCCCTGCCCTCCAGGAGCTCACATTCTAGTGAGAGAAGACAGCCCATAACAGATAAAGCTGGGGAGGGGAGAGGGTCCCTCCGTCATCTCTGCCTCCAGCTCAGAACTCCTGGCTCACTCAGGAATTTCACGATTTTGAGACCGTGAGGCAGAATGAACCATGGATTTAAACACAGTTAAATAGGGAACCCCAGGGTGGGGGGCCTCAGAAGACACCCCCCCACCCTCATGACAGGCACAGCCCCTTAGGAGGGAGGGAGCTCTGGGGGGGGGGAGCGGTGCTTGGGAAGAGCCGATTAATGCTTCTGTCCCCTTTGCTTTCTCAGACCCTGTCAGAACCAGGACTGGATCCCCAGCAGACCCAGGCTTTCGACCAGCTCTGCCGCCTTTACCGGGGAACCTCCAGGGTAATGAACTGCCTCCTTGCATGCTCATCTTTGGTTTCCATTCTTCTGATTTATTGTTTTGGAAGCCTGAGTTCTGTCTCTGGCCTCCTTCCCAGCTTGGAGAATGTCACAGAAACATCCCCTGGCTTCTGATCCCGGCTCTGCGTGGCCTGGATAAAGGGCCTCAGCGCCCCTATCTGTAAAGTGAGGGGGCTGGCAAGAGGCTTTCCTCATGGAATTAGCAGACCTGGGTGCAAATTCTGCCCTTTTCACTTAATATCAATGTGACCTCAGTCAAGTCACTTTTCTTCCTCTGGAACTCAGTTTCCCCATTTGCAAAAAGAGGGAGTTGACCTTGAAGGTCCCTTCCAGCTCTGGACCTGCGCTCTTCGATTGATTGGGGGAGGGATAGTAGCTCAGTCCGAGGGTACCACTGTAAGCTGGGGGGGTGGTCTTGCCAGGCCCCTGAGGATGGCAGGGCTCCCCAGGGGACGACTCATGAGCAGCCCTCACTTGGCTTTCCCTTTGGAGGGCTAAAGAAACCCCGTCCTACTAGGGGGAGCTGATCTGCTGTGAGTCTGAGACCCCTTGATCCTGCCCTCTCTCCGTGGTCAGCCCTGGGAGGAAGGCACGGGCCAATGACCCCCTGCAGCCTCCGCTCCGGACTCATGCTCCCATCCTGGCCGTTTGCACACGTGACTGTGGCTCAGTTAAAGGAGCAGGCTCAGCCCAGAGCTCGAGATACCTCCCGGGGAGCTGCGGCCCGCCTCCCGGAGCCTGGAGCAGGTGGACAGGCAGGCCCTGCCAGGGACTTGGGGAGGCAGGCGGAGGGAAATCAGCAAGAGGAGGAAGGGGATGGCAGCGGGATCAGGAAAGGAACCACTGCCTCTGGCCAGTTACCCATGACTAAGAATCTACTCCCAAGAGCGTCCCCGAGCCCCGGTAAACATCTGCTCTAAGTGTGAAAAACTGGGACCTCCTGAAAGGCCGGGCTGTTGAGCATCAGCTAGACCAGCCAGGGCGGGTCAGTGCCCTGGACAGCTGGGAGGCCATTAGCAATGACAAGGGTACACACCTGGGGTCTGTGCTGCTGGGGACGCTGCTGCTGGCTTGCTTGAGCGTTGGAGCTCTGAGCTCAGGCTCTGGAGGGTCAAGCTGACCGATGTCCAGACCCAGTAGAGCGAGGAGCTGGGGGCCGCCAGGCTGCCCACACAGGGTGAGCAGAATGACAAGGGTTCAGCAGAGTGTGCCTGTGCCTGGGCCAGATAAGGAGTTGTGTTGCTCATTCACTTTTCAGTCATTTCCCAACTCTCCATGACCCCATCTGGGATTTTCTTCTGAGAGATACTGGAACAATTTGCCATTTCCTTCTCCAGCACATTTTACAGGTGAGGAAACTGAGGCAAACGGGGCTAAGTGACTTGCCTAAGGTCACACAGCTAGTAAGTGTCTGAGGCCAGATTTGAACCCAGGTCCTGACTCCTGGGTTCCTGACTGCAGGCCTGGCGCTCTATGCACTATGGCGCCATCTAGCTGCCCACGAGATAAGGTAGCCCAGTCTTTTAAAAAGCAATTAAGATCAATAGAGATGATTGATGAAGAAAGAATGAGAGCTGGCCAGAGGCAGGAGGCCTGACTGGGTTTCAACCAGTGCTAGTTTTTTTAAACTAAAGAAAGGGTAGAAGGAGACAGAACGAATGATGGAGAAGTTTGTTTTCCTTGGAAATTGTTCTGAATGTTTCTTACTGGGGGGGAGAGGGAGAAGTAAGGCCCTCTGCCAAGAGCCCTGCTTTGGAATCCAAGGACCTGAGTTCAAATCCTGCTTGTCACTTGGCAGTTACTATAGCTGAGCTGGGGCCAGTCTCTCAGGCCCGCTGACCTGTAAAGTGACGGCTAGAACACAGCAGCCTCTGAGGTCCTTGCTGGCTCTGACTCCCCTGATCCTGTGAGAAGTTGTTGGGAAAAAGCCTGCCTCAGCCATCGCTGCTGCACAGCCCAGTGCTACCCAGCTGGGGATGCGATGAGTTTGTATTCATCCATAACTCTCTTTTCATCAGAGACCCTGACAGCCTTCCAGCCAGTCCCTCACCCTGGTATCGTCCTCCTTCTCGCACCAGGCTTCCTCCCATGCTCCGTGTCCTCAGCCTCTCTTACATCCAAGTGCCCACTTCTCTCCTCCCCCAGCTACCTCCCTGAATGAGGCTCTGCCCCACTCCACTGTCTTCCCCCTAGCTGCCAGAAACTCCCCTCCTCAATAAACTCCAAGAGCTCCCCATTACTTCTAGAATCAAAAGGGAGCTCTGTCTGGCCCCGGCCCAGCCCCAGCCTGCTTTCTGGGGCCTTATTATACGTCCCTCTCCTTGGCCTCTCTGAGATCCAGCCACATTGGCCTTTGTCCTGATCCTCATAAACAGTACTTCATCTCCCACCTCCAAGCATTTGCAAAGGCTGTCTCCCCTGCCTAGACAGCAGGCGCTCCTCACCTTCTCCTCAGAATCCCAAATTTCCTTCAGGATTCGGCTCAGGGACCATCTTCGTCATGAAGCCAATCCTGGTCCCTGCTCCCCAACTCCAGTGACCTCACCTGTATTTTATGTGTGCCTCTATGTGGATGTGTTGTCTCCCCCCGTGGAGGCTTCTTGGGAGCAGGAACTGATTCAACTGTGTCTTTGTATCCCCAGAGCCTGGCACACAGTAGGTGTGGGGGAAATGGCTGGTTGATCGATGGAAGGTTCCATAGACTAGTGTTTAGACTTACTGGGGGCTGTGCCGGGAGAGAAGGCCTCTGATCCTTCCTGGGCCCCTTCCTCCCCTGCCCTGTCCTCCCCCCAGAGCTAGCTGTCCCCTGGGACAAGAGCTGAGTCCTAACCCAGCTGAGGGCAGGACTGACCCTGCACCCCACCCAAGCCCAGGGACCGCACCAGGTCTAGGAAGAGGCCACCAGAGATGCCCATAGAAAAGACCGCAGGAATACGAGGGTGTGGATCAGACGGAGATGAATTATTGCTAACATTTGTAAAGCACTCTGAATGAGAGAGGGAGGGAGGGAGGAAGCAGGCATTCGTTAATGGAGGTCTTCCCTGTGCCACGCCTGTGCTGCTCGGTGCTCAGATCACAATATCCAAGGCAGCTCAGATCCTGATGGGGAAGGGGGCTGAGCTGTGTCAAGCATTCACTGGGGTGAGGAGACCCATTTCTCAGACTCAGTGATTCTGTCCTCAGCTGTACTCCAACCCCTGGCTCTCGGAGCTCGAGGAAGCCCATCTGACGTGGTCCTTTTGTGTCTTCCAGCTGGCGCTCCTAACTGAGCTCTCTCAGAACCAAAGCAGTGACAGTCAGCGGCTCCTGGGGGTGTCCAAGAGCAGCCCCGCCCTCCACAGCATCTTCCAGAATGAGAACTTCCAGCTGCACCTGACCCCTCCTCCATTGACCGAGGACTGAGGATGTCCGCGTCCTGGGCCACCGAGAAAGCGCCTCAAAGGAGCCCCAGCACCCCGTGACCTCCTGGTGGCTGTGAGGCCCAGGCCCTGCAGAGATCACCCTCATCCCTCCTGTGCTGGCTTTGGCTCACTGGTTCTGTCTGTTGTTGGTTTACTCACCGTCACACATCTCCCGCTGCATTCCTCGGAACCGATGGATCAGCACAGAGACTCCAGCTCCACATGACGTTCTCCTTCTCTTGGTGGAGGGCAGCGGGGCCCCAGGAGCCCCAGAGTTCCCATCGGAGATTCCTGCTTCGGGTCTAGGATGCAGCATTGTGGGTCCTCGGGGCTGTCCGCCGACGAGACCCAGAACTGCCCCCGAGCCCAAGCCTTCAACAGGCGGGCGCGCGAGGGAGCGCCACGCAGAAAGAAAGCAGCCACTCCCCTGGGCACATATGTCACCCTGAATGGGGTCCAAAGTACCATGAAGAGGAGGGGGTGGCTGGCACAGCCTGCAAAGGTCAGGAGACACAAAACTGGCTCTCATTGGGTTTCAGCCCCTCCGGCCCCGTCACAATAAATGTCCCTCTAACTCTGGGCAGCCCTGGTGTCTGTCTGTGCAAAGGAGAGGATGCTCAGGGCCCATGTCGACTCCACAGGGGGCCACATCAGGCAGAGAGGGGGCCAAGAGGGAGCTGGGAGTTTGGCTGCCCTCCTGTGGGTGAGAGTCCACTCCCCCCACCCCCAGGGGCCACCTTGTAACACCTGGACCACGGCAGCCGCTGCCCTGAGCACCGAGCGTGTTGGTCCCTGCTGGGCCAGAGCCAATGGAGAGAGTGCGGGGTGGGGGCAGGGGACTCGGGCTCTCGTCCCACGCTGTCACCAGCTTGCTGTGGGACCTGGCGCAAGTTAACCTCCCAGCCCTCCTGCTGCTCCCTTCCTGCCAGGGGTAGGTGTTGTGAGGATACAGCCAGGTAAGCAGTGTAGAAAGAGAAATACACCGAGTTCCTGCTAGGAAAGGCAAGAAAGAAATGTCGCCGTGGTGGTGATTTGGGTCGGGATCCTGGAGCGAGAGATTCCCTGACGAATGGGCGGCCCCCACACTGTCAAAGAAACGGGAGGGAGCCATGGGCAAACCAGTGGGGGGGGAGAGCCGCACACGTTGGGCGACCATGTGTGTCACGGGAGGGAAACCCCGAACGAGGAGGGAGCTTGACGCGGCGATGGGGGGGCCGTCAGAGATGACCCCTGCGGGGCTCAGACCACGGCCTGCCCAGCCCCCGACCGTCAGGGATTCAGGGAATGTGAAACCGGGGGGCCCCGAGCCTCAGCAATGGCACGGAAGTCACGACCGCACTGGCGCCCCCCAACAAGGATCCCCTCGGCAGCATCCCCAGCCAGGGCTCCAAGGAGGGTCTGCCTCTTCCTCTGATGGAGGCCCAGCCCAGACTCTGCTTCCTGCTCGTGGGAGGGCACCTGCTCCTAACGAGCTCAGCCCCGCTTCTTTCTTTCTCACCCTTCTCAACTGGGTCAGAGCCATCGCTTCTAGGATGCGTGAACTCCGTGTTTGTGTCCTTTGGAGCATTTGGCTCCTTGCCGGGTTAGAGCTAAGATCCTAAGACCCCACCCAGACTTAGGGCTAGAAGGTGCCTTAGAGGTCACCCAGGCCGACCTCTCCTCTTGCAGAGGAGAAACCAAGGCCCAGAGTCCACGTAACTGACCCGAGGCCACGCCACTATTAAGCATCAGAGGCAGGATTCCAATCCAGGCCTTCCAAATCCAGCCCTCCACCTCCCACACCAGGGGGTCAAACGCGGGGCCCACAGCACTCTCAGGGCAGCCGAACCAGACGAAAATGCAACTGGAAAATGTTTAACAAAATTGTATGAAATACAAAACAAGATGGATAATGTTAACTTGTGGTTTTCTGAGTCAGTATGTGGTCGATCCACTTTGACGCTCCTGCCCTTCACCAGATCCGCGTGACTCGTTTGGTGGGCACGACCTCGTCTGTAACCTCCTGTGAAGGAGCTGCGGGGGCAGACACCGTGGGTGGTGCCTGGTTTGGGCTGAAAGAGCGGATGTCATCACATCCTGCCTCTGGTGCGACACCACAGGACCAGAAGCCTCTGGAAGTAGGCAGCCCGGGATGTCGTGGGTCATCGGGTGGCGTCGGCGCCTCATTGTCCAGGCTGTCGCTGCAGACCTTTGTCAGGAAAATGACCCGGAGAACCAGGATCTACATCATGCTAACGTGGCGTAAACTGTGGCCCCCTCCCTTGTGGGGTTTGCTTAGGCTGGGGTGGGAGTGCCAGTCCCAGGCAGAGGGTCCCATGCATTCTCACAGTGTAAGCAGGACAGAGCAAATGTCCCCTGGGAAAACTCATGCCAAAAGGCCCCCATGGGGATGACCCGGCGGAATTATCCAGTGGCCATCATCACTAACCGTAGAAATGCCCAGCGCCATCTGTCCATCCAGAAATGATTCTGTTCCCTCTGGGCCCCCCATTCACTGCCCTTTGGCAACAGAGGTCATTCTTCACCCACTCCCCGTGGGTCCCATCCCCCATGCCTCAGACACATAGTTAATAAATGCATTTTGATTGGTTGTTTAGCAAAGTCTTCCACTTATGAAATCAGGCCCATACATCAAACTGAGCCCAGGTCATCCATCCATCCGTCCACCCACCCACCCATCCGTCCATCCACCCATCCGCCCATCCACCCACCCACCTACCCACCCATCTGTCCATCCACCCACCCATCCATCCATCCAACTATCCATCCGTCTGTCAATCCAACCAACCATCCATCCACCCATCCATCCATCCACCCACCCATCCGCCCATCCACCCACCCACCTACCCACCCATCTGTCCATCCACCCACCCATCCATCCATCCAACTATCCATCCGTCTGTCAATCCAACCAACCATCCATCCACCCATCCATCCATCCACCCATCCATCCATCCAACTATCCATCCGTCTGTCAATCCACCCATCCATCCATCCACCCATCCATCCATCCATCCATCCATCCATCTATCCATCCATCCCAAGTGGACCCCCTGTCCAGGAAGTATGAGCTTTCTTGGTTCTTCCAGTCTCTGGCTCTTGCACACGTTCCTGCCTGGTTTTTCAAAACTAACTCTCACAAGACGCCTCACTCCTGGGTTTCTTGACCGTTGATTCATTTGCCCATATGGCATATAGCAGGTTCACTAACTGTTTCTCTGCTGCGTAAGCAAGATAGCTATTTGTACAAGGGATTGTTATAAGGAGGCACATTTCCATTCAAGGAGTAGATCTCACTGTGAAGGGCAGAGGGCAGCCCTGTGAATTCCTTCTGCCAGACCTAGACATACGTTTTCAAATACGGCCAATGGAGGACCTTGTTCAGCCTAACTATGCGTATTTCTCAAAACAAGGGTGACTTTGGGGTCTTGAACCGGGCAGGTCCCTTAACATCTCAGTGCCCTTTGGCAGGTCTGTAAGAAAGGGGCTCTTAGGTGTGTTGTGTCTTGGACTCCCTGGGCAGCAGACTGGAGAAGACGAGGAGCTCCTCACAATAATACTGGTCATTTATAAAATAAAATACATTGGACCCACAGACTGGAGAAGATGAGGAACCCCTTCTCACAATAATACTAGTCATTTATAAAGTGAAATACATTGGACCACAAAGGAAGCCCATAGTATTGAAATGCAGCTATCAAGATACAAGTTCCAAGTCTGTGAACTCTCTTGGGGGTCCCTACACCCCAGGTTAAGAATGTCTACCCAAAGATTCAAAGTTGGCAAGAAGGTTGTATGTAATTATGATATTTTAATTACATTGTACGCATGAAGTCCCAGATAATAATTATATGCCAGTCACTCTATGAAGGAGCCGTGAGGCATCGTCCAGATGAGGCTCCTTGGCCTTAGCAGAAGAAGCAATCTCTACCTAGGTTAGATCATGTCACCCCTGGAGTTTCTCAGAGAGGCATCCTAGAGAAGGAGGGTGTCAGAGGTCTGGTGCACCCAGACCCCATCAATGTTTCCAGGGTTTCTGCTCTGATCACAGTCATCTCCATCCTGATTGGGGCTTGCAGAGAACCGCGTGCAGCCAGGAACCGGGAGCCAGCCCCCAAAACAACGTGCCCATGCATGCCTCTGGTCCAGAAGCCCTCACTGAGGAGTCGCTGCTCAGGGACTGGTGTTGACCACAGCGTGTCCAGGGCATCACCAAACTCTCCCCTTTGGGGAAAGGATCAAAACCAGGAGCTCAGAATCTTTTCTGTTTCACAAACTCCTTTGGTGATGGTTTGGAGAAGCCTGTGGAACCTTTCTGAGAATAATGCAATGAAATAAAATGTGTAAGATTGCAACCAGTTATATTGAATCCCGGTGACCAATATGTCTGTAGCTATAGTTTTAAAAAGCAAGGTGAGAGACCCCTGGTTAAGCCTAATCCAGGGAAATTTGATTTTAGAGACTGACACCTAAGGAAGAAGTCACTGAAGAACCCGGGTGTCCTCACCGTTCCGGTAAGACCCAGGATGTGTTGTGAGGCGTCCTGGACTCCTCCATCCCCAGCATTGTTATGGCTGGCACTCGATACCCTTTAGCTGTGTGAATGAGGGCACACACGGACCCATTTCTTCTCACTGAGCTCCTGCTGTCGTCACAGGATTGAGGGAGTCATTCTCTACTGGAAATACAGCCATCCCCTTTTGAGTCAATGTCACAGCCTCGCTGAGTTGAATGCACAGCATTGATGAGCGGATCCAAAGCTGAATTCATTTCTCTCCCCTCCCCCTCTTCCAGATGTCCCTGTTTCTCTTGAAGGTGACATCATCTCTTCAGTCCCCCCAGGTTCCCAGCCTTGGCGTTATCTCTCATTCACCTGCTATCGCCAATTAATTGCCTAATCCCTAATGCTGTAGCTTCTTTCGTATCCAAACCCTTCTCTCCACTCACAGACCACAATCTTCATTGGGACCTTCACCCCTTCTCACCTAGATTATTTAAATATAATGGCTTCCTAATTGATCTCCTTGCCTCAAATCTCCCCCCACTCAACACATCCTCAGCTCTTCTGCCAAAGGGATTTTCCCTAAATTCATCAATCAGTAAACATTTATTAAGTGCCTACTGTTTGCCGGGCACTGTGCTAAGCACTGGGGGTGCAAAAAGAGGCAAAAAACAGTCCCTGGCCTCAAAGAGCTCCCAGTGTAAGTGGGGAGACAACGAGCAAACAAATATAGACAAAGCAAGCCTTACAGAGGATATGCAGGAAATCATTAACATAGGGAAGGCCCTGGAATTAAGAGGGGTTGGGGACCTGACCGTGTGTCAGTCCTCTGCTCGATAAACTCCGGGAGTTCCCCATTGACCCTCGAATCAAATATCAATTTCTCTGTTTGGCAATTAAGACCCAGTACCACCTACCTGCCCGGCTTCATTACTCTCCTTCCTTAACATCCTAATTATATTGGTTAATATTAAAATGAGTTTGCCTTTTCCAAGTGCGAGGGGATTTGTGCCTGCTGGGAAACAGCGGGGAGCTGTTTGGGGATTCATCAGTGCCCCCAGATCACTCACAAAGTGAGCAAT